CCGCCGAGCCGCTCGGGGGGCGCCGCGCCGACGAGGGGAGGGCGCGGGGGGGGGGGGGGTGGGGGGTGGGAGGGCGGGGGAGGGAGGGGACGCCCGCCGAGGAATGTGCCGGCTGGGGGGCGGGGAGCCGGGGTCCCGGCCGGCCGCGGGAGCCGGGGTCATGTGCTGTTTGTCCCGCGGAGGCGCAGAGAGGTGCCAGGCCCGGGGCGGCCGTCGGGCGGCCGGCCGGGAGGGAGCACCGGGTCCGCATGGCCGCCGGCACAGGCCGGGGCCGGGGTCCGCGCCGGGATCACCGGACGGGCCGGGGGCAGGTGGCCCCGGCCGACCCGCGGCCGCGCCACCCTCTTCCCTGCCCCGTGAGCCGCGACGGCGTGAGCACGGCGTTTTCCCGTCGTGGCCCCTGCCCCGGGCAGGGTCTGGGGGTCGGGGCTGTGCTTCCTGACACAGCCTCTGTGATCTGAGCTCCTCCCTTCCTGTCCTGGGACGCACCGACCCGGTCCCCCTTCCCGTGCCCTGACCAGGAGGGCTGCGGAGGGGAGGCCCAGCAGGACGGGCGGTGTGGTCCTGTGGGGCCGCAGAAGGGGCCCCAGCATCCCGGTCTGCCTTCGCGAGCCTCCACCCTCCTGCCCGTGGGCGTGGGCTGCTCAGCCTCTCCTCCCAGGGTGTGAGCACTGGGGCACCCACATTCCTGGGCTCCAGCCTGGCACCTTCCCCAGGGCAGTGGACGCCATAGCGCTGGCCCCAGGCTGGGGCTGGGACCTGCCTGGTTCCTTTGGGGGAGACCCCAGTGCTTTCCCGTCCCCCGGTGAAGTCACAGGTATTTCACAGGGAGCCCCCAACAGAGGAGCCCGGGGGGTTGGTGTGATGGATACAGGATGACCCCACCCTCCCCTGCCCATTGTCCAGGATCCTGAGGAGGAAGTGCTGGGGGCTGGGCGAGGGGTTTGGGGCCCACAGGCTGCCCGTGGATCCCAGGCCTGGGCTGTTCCTCCAGCCCTTGAACTTTGCCCACTGGCAGTTCCTCCCCGTGTGGAGGCTGTGCGCTCTAGGTTTCTACTTCTTGGCTGGCACCGTGGGGGAATTTTAGGGCAGGTTTTAGGTTTGGGGTTTTCTCTCCTGTCTCTCCTGGGCTCCCACTTTGTGCCGTCGCCCCGGAGCTGCCCCCCCCGTCTGCGATTTCTGTGTCCGCGATCTTCTGTGGCTCCTTCCTTTGGTCCTTCCCTCATTTCCTCCACAGCGTGACCTGGATCTGCCTCCTGCTGTCTGGGATCTCTCCCTTTCTCGGTGTCTGTGGCTTTCTGTCGCTCCTCTGCCCCTCTTCCTGTCACCGCCGGTGTCTCTGCCTCTGCGTCCCTCTCTCTGAACTGCCCTCTGTCCAGCCTCTCTCTCTCTTCTCTATCTGGGCGTCCAGTACACTTGTGAGTGACGAATAAAAATATCACGGTCCCTGTCCTTGGACTCACATTGCCTTCAGCCACTCGGGAGGGACCGCCGTCCTCCCCTTTCCTAACCTTGCCCCCTGCCCCTGCCCTCCAGCCGTGGAACCCCGACCCACCTCTGGAGCCCCAGGTGCCTCCTAACCACTCTTCCCCCACAACCAGGGTTTCCCCCACAGCCCCAGCTGGTGTGGCCAGGCCCCAAGGGTAGGATGGGGCTTCCCCTACGAGGGCCGGTGGCAGCCAGAGCTGATACAGCCCCCCTGGTCTGGGGCCAGGACACCAGGTAACTCTGGGATGATGGCCCAGGGCCCTGCGAGCTGGGATAGGGCCGGGGAGAGAGGCAGGAACACCACTGGGAGTCCCTGAGGAGAGTGACATTTGGGAGAAAGGCCAGAGGGTCAGGAGCTAGGTCCCGGAGGGGCTGGGGAGCTGGGGAAGGGGGTGGAGATGCTGGATCCTGGGAGCAGACGCAAGGCAGTGTCTGGGTCCCCCCAGCGGGCTCTGACCACCTCTTCTGTCTCTGTCCTTCAGCTGAGGAGGGTGAGCGTCTCGGGAGCCATGGCTGGCGCCTCGGTGAAAGTGGCCGTGAGGGTTCGGCCCTTCAACGCCCGTGAGACCAGCCAGGATGCCAAGTGTGTGGTCAGCATGCAGGGCAGCACCACCTGTGAGTGAGTCCCAGGGGCTTGGCTGGGCACGGGCGGGGCAGGCGGGCCCGCCACGCTGGCCTGGCCGGCCGCGCTGAACCAGGAGGATTGAGCTGGGTGCGGAGCAGGTGCTAGTCGAAAGGGCGGGGGCAGGGTGGGGGCAGGCTGGCCTTTCCGCGCTTCCAGTCCCTGGGAGGGGGAATGTTGGCCTGGAGCCCTCCATTGCCCAATCGGGGAGGCAGCCTGGTGGGGGGGGCGGGTCCTGAGAAGCCAAAATTAGCCTTGTGGCTGGAGGGGGTGGGGAGCATTAAAGGGGAGAGGTGAACTAGCAGAGAGGTGGGGAGTGGGGTACCTGGACCCCCACAACGTGGGGGCACGGGCAGAGGTCGGAGTGCCTGACCTTGGCCTTCCTGTCTTTCCTTCTCCTACCCCGTCAGCCATCGTCAACCCCAGACAGAGCAAGGATGCCCCCAAAAGCTTTACCTTTGACTACTCGTACTGGTCACACACTTCGGTGAGGTTGCCGGGGTGAAGGGAGAGCTCAGCAGTGAGGAACGGGGGTTTAGGCCCTGGGGAGGGGGCACTGCTGGGAAATAGGGCTGGTTTTATGTTTGGGGTAATAGGGACCGGGGTGGGAGGGCCATGACCCCAGGGTGGGGGTGAGTAGGGCCCTTAGGGCATGACTGAGACCAGGACGCGGGGAGGGGGAGTCCCTCGGGGTGATTAGGCCTGGCAGGAGACCGTATAGGGTCCTGTCTCGGGAGAGTAGAACCATGCCTGGGGGTTGCTCAGGGCACGTAGGACCTTTGGGCGATCAGCAGCGATGGGGACAAGACTCTCGGGACCCAGACCCTAAGGACGGAGTCACGGAGGGCTCCCGCTCTGTCTCTGCTTCACTAGGCCGAGGACCCCCAGTTTGCATCTCAGCAGCAGGTGTATCGGGACATCGGAGAAGAGATGTTGCTCCATGCCTTCGAAGGCTACAACGTGTGCATCTTTGCGTACGGGCAGACTGGGGCTGGGAAGTCGTACACGATGATGGGGCGTCAGGAGCCAGGGCAGCAGGGCATCGTGCCCCAGGTACACGCCCGCGACCTGGCGGGGCAGCCAGGGCAGAGCAGCTTCAGCTGCTCCCTGGGGCAGGAAGGGCCCACAGACTATGGAGCAGAGACCTGGGTCTCTGAGGCTGTGCTGATAGGGAATGTGAGGCGGGGAGGGGCGGCCCCGTGGGGAGGGGTCTCTGCCCCCACCGGAAGCAGCAAAGCTAGAGCCAGAGCCTTGCTGCTGGAGAATCCTGGGTCTGAACCCTGGTTCTGCCACTTGTTGCGGTTTTATGTCGTCTGTGAATGCGGCTCACCGCAGACACGCCTACCGTAGTCAGGGTGCGGACTGTAGAGAAAGCAGATGCGGGTAACCGGGAGCTGACCGTGATTCTCCCTGAGCGTGCGGCACAGTGGCCTTGCCGCGGGCTCTGATGTCAGGGTGCCGGTGTTCGCTTCCTGGCTCACCATGTGGTCGTTGGTGACGCTGGGCAAGCATGAACCCTGGGGAGGTTGCTTTCCCATCTGTAAAATGGGAACACCCGCTCCCTCGGGGCTGGGGTGGGGGTTAAACAGAGCCACACAGGCCGGGGCCCAGCAGGGGCGCCAGGAACAGCTGCTTCTCTGTGTCCCCTTCCAGCTCTGCGAGGACCTCTTCTCTCGTGTTAATAAGAACGAGAGTGCTCAGCTCTCCTATTCCGTGGAGGTGAGCCTGCGTCCTGGTGGGGCCCCGGGCTGGGGAGAGGCGGCAGGGGCAACACTACGGGCATCTCAGGACTCAGGCAGCCTCGGGCCTGCCCGTGGCCCTGCCCCGTTACTCACGGAGGCTTTGGGCAGACGGTTTCATCCCCCTGCTCTTGAGTTTGTTCGCCCCTGAAAGGCTCGTGACCGGCCCCCCCCCCCCCCAGGGCTGTTGGGTCAGCGAGCCCGCACGTGCGAAGTGCTCGGCACCGCGCCTGGGGCGACGTGAGTGTTCGGTGTCTGCGACATGCCGTCACCCACGTCCCGTCCGGGGAGTTGAGCGCGAGTTCCGTTATCAGTACGTTTACCACGCTTGTCGCTTCGTGTTTGCTTCTCCTGCTCAGGTGAGCTACATGGAGATCTATTGTGAGCGGGTGCGAGACCTCCTGAACCCCAAGAGTCGGGGCTCTCTGCGGGTCCGGGAGCACCCCATCCTGGGCCCCTACGTGCAGGACCTGTCGAAGCTGGCCGTGACCTCCTACGCAGACATTGCTGACCTCATGGACTGTGGAAACAAGGCTCGGTGAGGCCGGCGGCCGGAGCGCAGGGAGAGGGAACCAGGCCGGGCAGGTGAGAGGCCGGATGCAGTGACCGCTCCTTCCCCCCAGGACCGTGGCCGCCACCAACATGAACGAGACCAGCAGCCGCTCGCACGCTGTCTTCACCATCGTCTTCACACAACGCTGCCATGACCAGCTCACCGGGCTGGACTCGGAGAAGGTGGGGTTCCTCCAGCCCTGGCTGCCTACCCCGTTCCATTGCCGGGCATCCCACTGACCTGCCCGCCCCTCCCGCCCCCCACACCCCGTTACCTCCTGCCCTTTCCCCCGACCCCAGGTCAGCAAGATCAGTTTGGTGGACCTTGCTGGCAGTGAGCGGGCTGACTCCTCGGGGGCCCGGGGCATGCGCCTGAAGGTAGGGGGCTTAGGAGGGACGGGTAAGGTCGATGCTGGGTGCTGTGGGTGGCGGTCTCTGGCTGGGAGGGAGGCAGAGCAGAGTCGGGGAGGGGGCCCCTGTTGCCCGTATTCCTCATTCCTTTCCAGGAAGGTGCCAACATCAATAAGTCCCTGACGACCCTCGGGAAGGTGATATCGGCCCTGGCGGATCTGGTAAGACTGGGGGCTGGGAAGAGAAGCTGGCTCTGGGACGGGGCGGGGACCGGGGGTGGCTCCTCCTGACCCCCTTCCCCTTCCATCCCCAGCAATCAAAGAAGCGGAAGTCGGATTTTATCCCTTACAGGGACTCCGTGCTCACCTGGCTGCTCAAGGAGAATCTGGGTGAGGAGCCCCTCCTCTCTCTTTTTACGGACCCTGCCGCCCTCCCCCCTTTGACACGTCTGACGAATCCCCTTGCCACCCCTAGAATCTCAAATCCCCCAGTCCCCCGGCTGTCCCCTGACTGCCCCCCAACCGTCCCCATCCCGGGGGACACCCTTGGAAGCTGTCCCAATGCTGAGGCGAGCCGTGGGCCCTCTCTGAGCCCATGCCCACCGCTGGCTTGGTCCTCCTCCCGCTGATCTGTCCTGGAGACGTCAGAGGTGTCCCTGGCCTCACCCGTCCCGCGTCTGACCGCCAGCGTCCGCGGGGAGTGCCACGACTCGTGGCTTCACCCCATCTCGGACGGTGACCCTGAGACCCAGCCTGACTGCCCTCAGGCCCTAGCCCAGCTGAGTTTCCCCGCTCCTCCCGCAGGTGGGAACTCACGCACGGCCATGATTGCGGCGCTGAGCCCCGCAGACATCAACTACGAGGAGACGCTCAGCACCCTCAGGTGGGGCTCCGGCGGGAGCCGGGCGGCCGGGAGGGGGCCGGGAGCTCAGAGGCCAGCAGCTCGAGACCCCGGCCGGGAGACAGGCCGAGCCTCAGCCGGACCCAGTATCTAACGGTCTGGGAGAGGGAGGGGACAGACCGCAGACCCAGGGGCATCTGGGCCGCACCCACCCAAGTTCCCTCCTCCCCAGGTACGCTGACCGCACCAAGCAGATCCGCTGTAACGCGGTCATCAACGAGGACCCCAACGCCCGGCTGATCCGAGAGCTGCAGGAGGAAGTGGCCCGGCTGCGGGAGCTGCTGCTGGCTCAGGGGCTGTCGGCCTCGGCTCTGGGAGGTAGGGCTCCGGGGCCGCTCAGGGACACCCCTCCGCCCGCCGCGTCCCCTGGCTGCGCGCGCCTGGTCCGGAGGCCGGAGAGGGCCCGCCGACCACGAAGCTCTTCATATGCCTGGTGGTGCGGACGTGGGTACGCAGAGGGGACATCGCAGGCCTTCAGCCGTTCCAGAGCCGGGGGCACGGATTCTCTGGGGGGGGTGAGGGCTCAGGGGGCCTTCAGGACTGCTGCAGCGAAGGAGCTGGGGAAGACGGCAAGCCCTGCGTTTATGGTTCAAGCAGTAGATCACGTAGGAGAGGCTGCAGGGCACCTGCCTCCACAGGCGGTCGCGTGACGTGGACCGTCACAGGTCCCGCCGGCCGTAAGCGTGATGACAGTCAGCTGTGGAGTGGTTTCTACAACGGGACGTTCAGCCTCGCGAACGCCGGATGGTGCCCTGGTTAGAGGCTGCATAACCCGTGCCGGCCACGTCACGTCTGGACTCTGCATCCAGTCCCGGGGACCGAGGGGCACGGGGGTGAAGAACGGGGGTGTCCGTTCTCGGGGGGAGCAAGGTGGGGTAGACACGACACTCCCCTCCTGCATCTGGAGGGGAGCCTTGCAGAAGGGAAAGCGGTAGTCTTGCTCACCCCAGAAGGCACACGTGACACGGGGTAGATCGCAGCTTGCCGCGGCCGAGAAGCCTCTGGTGGTGGGAGTCACCTCGCGGCCTTGTTCGGTAATGAGCTCTCCATGCCTGGAGGGGAACAAGCAGACACCAGGTGCCCGTGTGTCAAGGCCGCAGCAGGGGAGCTCCCTGCTTGGCGAAGGTTGACCAGATGTCTTCCGGAGTCCTTACAGGCTGGTCCCTACTGACACCTCTGCGCCGCTGATGGGCTCCACGTTTTCTCAGCCTCCTCTGAGCTCTTTCTCCCCGGCAGGCCTGAAGGTGGACGGGGGGAGTTCCGGAGGAACCCTGCCTGCTGTGTCGTGCCCCGCCGCCCCAGCTTCACCCTCACATCCCCCCGCACACAACGGCGAGCTGGAGCCCTCATTCTCCCCCAGTGCTGAGCCCCAGATTGGGCCTGAGGAGGCCATGGAGAGGCTGCAGGTGGGCAGCTTGAGCTGGCGAGGGGAGGGAAACCGGGAGCTGCTGGGAGTCTGGTTCTCCAAGGCCAGAGCCCAGGAGGAAGGAGGATCCCCGGGGCCGGGACCCCGACCTCCCTGAGACCCGCCTGTCATGTGCCCCCAGGAGACCGAGAAGATCATCGCCGAGCTGAATGAGACGTGGGAGGAGAAGCTGCGCAAGACGGAAGCCCTGAGGATGGAGAGGTGCGGGGGGCGGGCTGGCAGCTGGGACTCTGGAGGGGTGCGGCGGGGAGGGGAGGTCGGGCCCTGCAGGGAAGGAGCTCGCGGGTCCCCGTAAGACCATCTGTCTCTCCGCCTCCAGAGAAGCATTGCTGGCCGAGATGGGGGTGGCCGTCCGGGAGGACGGGGGAACGGTGGGCGTCTTCTCTCCGAAGAAGGTGAGTGAGGGTCCACTGAGGCCTGGGAGACCCTGGAGGGGTTAGAGCCGAGGGTCGGGGGCATGGGGTGAGCCCCATTTCTGATCTCCGCGTTTGTCCCACGCCCATCATCTCCTCCCGGCAGTCAGCCCGTGGCCGGTCTTGCTAGGTGCCCGGGGCCGGGGCTCTAGGGGCTGCGGATGGATGCCAGGGTCCCTGCCCTTCCGGGGGGCGGTTCTAGGGCTGCTTGGAGTCCACGTTTTAACAGATGTCTGTGTGTATGTGAGTTCACACGGAATTCATCTCTGATTCCCAAGAAATGGGGTTTAGGGTTACCCCGGGGGCGGGGGGTTGCGGGAGGCTGGGGGGTGGGCTGGGATGGCCATGTGTTCACCGTGCGCTCTTCTGTGTCGAGTTTTGTGCCCTGCGTGTGTGTCAGCTGCTCAGACACGCAGTCCGACACGCGTTCCTGAGAGTGACTGGCAGACGCCGTAAGGGGCGGGGCAGGGGCTCAGGCGCTGAACTGTCAGATGTGAGGGTCCGTGCAGCTGGAGACGTGTGGAAACCGGCTCCCGGGGACGCGGTTTGGAGGCCGCACAGGATGTGGGTGACAGGAGCCGGGTGTGCGCCGGGCTGAGCGCCATGGCCGTGTCGGCCAAGCCGGGCCCACCACCCCTGTCGCCTGCCTGCCGTGGGGTGCGTGCCCAGGGGACGCAGGGAGGTAGTCAGGCTTGCCCGGAGGCGGGCGAGGCCCTCGGTCTTCACCGGCCAGCACGACACAGGGACGGGCGAGTCAGCGAGGACGCAGGCTGTAGGCCGCCGGCGGGGCTGGGGATTGTGGAGCCCGTCCTGGAGGTGCGTTGGAGCAGAGCGGGAACTTCCGGTCCTTCCGGGGGGCCGGCCTCGCCTGTCTGGTCCCCAGCACAAAGCTCACGGGATCGGGCCCTGGTCGGGTGCGCTGTGCTCAGAGCCGGGCGGGGCTGCCTGGAAGAGGTGGGCGATTGTTGGCAGGAGGCCTCCCCGATCTCGTAAGGTCGGGGCCGTCTAGGAAACAACACTCAGGCATCGTCAAACGGGGATCCCCGAAGAGGAGCGGGGTCTGCCCTGCCCAGCCTGAGGCACAGCCAGGGAGTGAGTGGGCATGGTGGGGGTGACTGAGGTCTGGTCCAGGGCTGGCACTCCAGACTTTGAGGTCCCTCTGTGGTCTGCATCTCGGACAGGGGGCCCACAGATGGCTCTCCGCGTGGTTTGCAGCCGTGCAGGGGTGCTGGGTGCCCCTGATGGGAGGGTGTTTCTTTCCTGGAGGGCATCACGCTGCACAGGGATGGGTGCCACCCCCTAAGGCCAGGGGACCAGCGGACGGGTTAGGTTGGGTTTGGTCTTGAATTGTTCCCATAAGGGGAACGTGCACGTGCTACAGAGAGATCAGTACGGTGGAAGGGAGATCTTCCTTCTGCTCTGCGGGCCTGCGCCGTTACCCGTTCCTGACGCGTTCATCCAGGGTTGGTCTGTGCGCAGAAGGCGTGAGCCAAGCACACTTGTCCCCGTGTCCACGCACACCACCTTTCTCTGAACCAGCGGTGGTTCCCTCCCTTACACTTCTCTGGGGGACAGGGTGTCGGCGTTCCGTCTGTTCTTTCTCATGGCGTCTGAATATTCGGGTGGGTATGGGATCGTGTTTAACCAGCCTCCTGCCAGTGGGCGCTTAGGTTGTCTTGCGTCCTTTGACACTAAGCCACGTTCCACTGCGTGGACTTACGGGTGGGTTAATCATCTCAAGGACAAATTCCCAGATGTGGGGGTTTGGGGTCAAACGGTTGCCATGTAAGATTTTGGCGTATTTTGCTAAAGTGCCCTCCAGAGATCATAACCGGGCCCCTTTACACTCCCTGGAGCACCACAGGAGAGCCCACGTTCCCTCACCCTCTTCGGCCTTCTGGTCTTTGCTGGTCTCGCTGGTGAAGACGGCGTGTTAGGGTAACTTACTGTCGCGTCTGCTCAGGGTGGCGAGGCTGCACGCGTCCTCACGGGAAACGGCGGGTGTGCTGTGGGGTCGAGAGCTGCTAGGCTCTGGGTTTGGTGGGGCAGGCTCCAGCCTGGAATGCTCTGGCGGGGATCAGGTCCTGCGGGAAAAGCTGGTTTGCCTCCAAGAGAGCGGAGAGTCTTCCAGGGACTCCCACCACCGGCCCCAAGGACGTCTTAAATCACTGATTTTCCAACCTGGCCCAGGACCTCCTTCCTGGGGGCCACAGGGGGTGGACAGGGCCAGACTCTGGGTCCCCTGTCCCCAGCCTCGGCCCCAGCATCTCCCTGCTCATCTGCTTGACGTATTAGGCTCCCAGGTACAGTTTCATCCAAACAAAGGGTTCCAGAGCCAAACAAAGATGGAAAAGCACTGCCCTAAATCGTGTCTCCTCTCTCGAGGGATAGATTGCTTTCTGCTTCCGGAGCCCATCCATGTCTGCCGTTCCCAGAGCAGGCCTGAGGCTGCAGCGAGGGAGGGCGTGAGCGTCCTCGGGCCGGGAGGAGGGTGGCAGTGACGGGTGGGTGCCTGGGCTGGGGCAGGCGCGTGGACACGCATCGTATCCCGGAGAGCCATGGGCCGGGACCGTGGCTGTTTCCCAGCCAGTCCCTCCACCCTGTGCTCTGCCGCCTCGGGGCCTTCATCCTGACTATACCTTCTACTGTTCTCATCCACGTCATCCTCAAGGACCAGCTGCCGTGCTGTCCTCCCAACGCCCTGAGCTCCAGGCGTCCTTCACGGTTCTTTCCCATGAGTGCTTCCCTGGGGACAGAGCGCTGATGAATGAGGGAGCTGAGGGAGGGCATGAAAAGGTCAGAAGCTTCCGTGGGGCGTCCGTTCCCCGCGTGTCGTGGGCTCCACCCCGAGGTGACTCTGTTTCCCCTGCTGAGGGGCCAGCAGTGTCTGGCTGGGGCTCATCTGCGGGTCCCCGGCCCCTCCTGGGGTCTGGCAGGTAGAAAGGCCGCAGTAAGTCCTCGCAGAATGTGGGCAGGGCATGTCGTGTTCGGGTGGGCGGCTTCGGGAAGCTTCATGGAGGAAGTGGCATTTGAGACAGACCTTGAGGGACAGGAAGTGAATGATTTTGACAGGTGGGGCTGGGGCCGGGAGGGAGGCTGTTCCAGGCCAGGGAACCTGGGAGCAGCTCCCGAGGGTGGTCAGGGATGCAGGAGGCCTGCTTCTGGGGCGGATGCTCTGCAGCCCACAGGGCAGGAACACGAAGGCACGGGGGCCCTGGGACGGGGCTGGGGTACGTGGGCTGTGGCCCTGCCCCGGGGGCCCTGACCTGGAGGCCCAGGGGTACCCGCATCAAGAGCAGGCTCGAGTCAGGTGGCCACGGGGTGCTGGCTGGAGAGGTCTGGCTGGAGAAGGGCCCCACTCAGCAGTGCTGTGTGCGGGCGGGGGCAGGCCCGGGGCGGGGAGGGCCGAAGGAACAGCGGACGGAAGGGAGGGAGACTTCCCTGGGCTTGGCGGTCAGGGCTGTCTGGGGGGGGGGGTTGCGGGGGGAAGGAGGGGCCCCGCCCCCGCCAGGGGGGGGGGGGGGGGGGGGGGGGGGGGGGAGGCCCCGGGTGAGGCAGCCTGGGCGGCGGTGGCTGGGAAGAGCGGGGAGTCTGCTGTGAGCAGCGGGTCTGTTGGTTTCCTTTGCTTTTGCATCGAGCTGACGCTTCCTGCCCTTCAATTACAAAAGTCGTCTGTGTCCCTAAGAAACTCGAGCTGGAAAGAGAGGTGGGAAGTGGGGTGCCTTCACCCTGCGCCCGCGCACACTCTCCACGTGAGGCAAGAGGCATGCCGAAGGGAAATGAGACGGGCGTGGAGCGGGATGGAGAGGGGCACGGGGAGAGCAGGGGCGAGGGCCGGGGTGTCCCGAGGTCTCCGTCAGGGACATGGGTGGGTCGGCCTGCGCAGAGACTTGGGGCTGTCGGGGCCGGACGGGTGGGCTGGGTCTGTAGACCCTTGTGTGTGTGGAGAGGTGTGTGACTGGGGGTCGGGGGGTGGGCGAGCTCCCCGAGGGGGGGATGCAGCCGGCAGGGCTGACACCCCCCCAACGCCCCTGACCCCTCCCCTCCTCCCTCAGACCCCCCACCTGGTGAACCTGAATGAAGATCCCCTCATGTCAGAATGTCTGCTCTACCACATCAAAGATGGCGTCACCAGGTAGCGTGTACCCCCCGTCTGTGGAGCAACCTCTCCCCGGGGGGTGTGGCTGCAGACAAACGGCTGCACCAGTGACCCCCTTTTCCGGTGACCTTCCTGGAGACCCCCCAGCCCGCACGGCCCAGCTCGCCCTCTGGCTTCCTGAGAAGTTGTGAGCCTGGCCGCGCAGCAGCCCTCACCTCCACCCACCACTTTGGGGTGGGTGAGACACCTCTGGGGACCAGCCTGGCTCGTAGGGATAGCTCCCCGAATTACTGGGGCAGAAGAGCGGTGGGAAACTCAGACTACCACGTTCGTAGCCCTTGGCATCCCTTGGTGCGGTGAAGCCCCAGCTTCACGGTGGGGAGCAGTGCCTGCAGGGCAGGTGGCCTTGCCAGCTAACGCCAACGATATGCTGGGGCTTGGGCCTCCGAGGTCCCCTCCTGGAGCCGAAGGGGTGAGGGTGCCCCTTCTCCCACCACAAGCACGTGCAGCCGTGCTGGGTGATGATCCTGGGTTAGGAGTGAGCCCTCGGGACAGTCAGCCCTCGGGCTGGGGGGAGCCCGCCCCGCTGTAAGCTCCCTTTCCCCACGTTGTGTAACATGGTGAGTCAGACACGGGCTTCCGAGTCAGGCAGGTCTGGGCTCGGATCCCAGCTTCACTGATGCGGGGCTGTGTGACCTTGGGCAGGTTACTCTTCTGAGCCTCTGCTTCCTGATCTGTGAAGTGGGAGTAACTGCTTGGCTTACGGAGTTGGGTGAACTGGCGCTGGGAAGGGGCTTGGCCAATGTCTGGCCCGTGCTCAGAAAATGTCGGCCGTTGCTTCCCCAGGGTCGGCCAGGTAGATGTGGACATCAAGCTGACCGGGCAGTTCATTCGGGAGCAACATTGTGTATTCCGGAGCATCCCTCAGCTGGACGGAGAAGGTAACGTTTGAGGGGTGAGTGGCGTGGCCACTGAACGCAGTCCCGTCCCACGCTGGATACAGAAGCTGGGGAGGGTCTGCAGCCTGGGAGCGCGGCCGTGTCCCTGGCCTCAGAGGGGCTTCGGGCTCAGCTCCAGCTGCCTGCGCCTGCCCCGGGCACGCGGTCTGCCACGGTGGGCAGGGAGTGGCAGCGTCCCCGAGGCCGACCCACAGGACCGCGGCGTGCGTGGGGTGGGGCTTGGTGAGGAGGAGGTCCTGCCCTCTTCCTAGATTTTTTAGTCTCAAATAGCGCCCTGGTCATTTCCCGTGAAAAGCTGTATTTGTTTTGGTGGGAATCTGAGTGTATCTCTGCAAAACCCGCTTGCATCCAGACCGCAGAGGCTTCCGGCCCACATAGCCCTCTGGTTCCAAGACTCTCAGAGATTTTTAGCCCTGATTCTGGCCGAAGTGGTGAAAGTGTTTAGGGACCACGAGACCTAACGGTGAAGGTGGTAGACTGTCTGATACGGTGACGAAACAATACTTGTGCAGTTTGGGGGAGTTTTTGTTTTTTTTTAACATAATATTTTTTTGAGAGAGAGTGAGCGTGTACGCACATGCGTGCAAGTGTGGGGGGAGGGGCAGAGGGAGAGGGCCTCGGGCAGACTCTGCCGAGCATGGAGCCCGACGTGGGGCTCGATCTCTCGACCCTGAGATCACGACCTCAGCCGAAATCGAGAGTCGGACGCTTAACCGACTGCGCCACCCAGGCGCCCCCAGGCTGTGTGTCGAGGTCACCGTTTTGTCCTGGTTCAGTCACTGTTTTAAGAAATGGAACAGTTTGGGTTTACTCCGGCCCCAGTGGAGTCGAGCCCTGGGAAGCACGTAGGGCCCGGAGGCAGGGTGCTGTACGTGGGCGTGCTCCCTCGGCTGAGCCTGCGCATGGTAGATTCTCTACTGGTTGACTTGTCTGTCTGACCAGCTAAGTGAGCTCTGTGAGAGCCGGGATTTGGGGCTTTATCTCCAGGGTGTTTCCAGGACCTACAATAGCGCCGGGCACGTGGTAGGGGGGCAAAGTACTTGCGGAGCGAGTGAATGAATTTGGGGCGTGGTGGGACAGGTGGGGACAGACCGGTACCCCCACGGCCACCCCTGCCCTCCCCTCTGCTGTCGCCTTTCTCCTGCCTGGCCCTCGAGGTGACGAGGTGATGGATGCGAGCCTGCCTTCGAGCTTGCGCCCCGAGGTCTGTCCCCCCCCGCGTCCTGTCACCAGCCCTCCGCCCAAAGCTGCATTCTCTGCTTTTCCTCTCCCACGGCCTCACGTCACGTCCATCCTGCTTGCTTTATTACTTGTAGTGGACACAGGAACTCAGGTTCACCTAGTGCTTTCTTTGAGCCTTTCAAGCATTCTGTAAGGAGGGACTTACTCATCCTGGCTTATAGAGGCCACGGAGGTCAGACAGCTTGCCCAGCGGTCCTCCGCTCAGGGGCTGCCCAGGGTCCGTGACAGTGGGGCGCCGCTCCTGGAGGGCGGGGAGCTGCCCCGTGCCCTGCGTCCAGTGAGCAGCAGGCTCCGGGGGGTGTAGGGACTGAGGAGCACCTCGGTAGATGTTTTGAGTGTTGTGTGTGGCTCGAGAAGGGCAGGCAGGGGGACAGTCTGACCACAGTGGGCTGGGGCTATAGCAGGAGCCCGGGCTGGGCCCGGGAGAGCACTCGCGGGAAAGGAAGGAGTGTGCCTCTGGGGGGCAGAAGTCGCAGCCTGCCGACTGCTGGACACGGGAGACCCAGCTCTCGGAGAATGACGGCTTTGCTGAGCCCCTGCTGGGGAGGATGGGGGGGCACCAGGGAGCCCCTGCAGAGGCTTCTGGAATTGTAGCTGGGGCTCTAACCTTCCTTCTGCTCTTCCTTTCCTGTGCTGCCTGCCACCAGAGGGGCCATGGCACCCCTGACAGGTACTGGGGGGGTGGGCCTGGGGTGCATGCATGTGTCTTGGGGTACTGCAAGATGGGCGTCTGTGACCATCACCCCCTCCCCCAGGGTCTAATGGCCCCCTTTCCTCTCTCCCTCTGGCAGTGGTGGTCACCCTGGAGCCTTGTGAAGGAGCGGAGACCTATGTCAACGGGAGACTGGTGACCGAGCCCCTGGTGCTGAAGTCAGGTAGAGGAAGGGGTGCCGGACGCAGAAATAAGCCGGAGCCAGCATGGGGATGTGACGGAGGAAGGGGCCCGGAAGGGGAGATGAGGACTCGGCTCTTGGGGTCTCTTGTGGGCCTGGGGAAGCAGGAAGAGGGTGCCAGGCTTCCCCGAGTCCCTTTGGCCATCAGGGACGAGGATCAGCAGGGGCCGACTGCCCTCAGACTTGGGCTGGTGGGAGAGGTGGTGTGTGGGCTCCTGGGCTTGTGGGCAGGGCCCTGGGCCCCGTGGGCGTGGGGATGGGGTGGGGATGGGGTGGAGCGCGCCCACCTTTCTCTGCTCCCCTCTGCAGGGAATAGGATCGTGATGGGCAAGAACCACGTTTTCCGCTTCAATCACCCGGAGCAGGCACGGCTGGAGCGGGAGCGAGGGGTGCCCCCGCCCCCCGGGCCGCCCTCCGAGCCGGTCGACTGGAACTTCGCGCAGAAGGAACTGTTGGAGCAGCAGGGCATTGACATCAAGCTGGAGATGGAGAAGAGGTACGGGGAGAGGGTGCTCTCTGGACCATCCCCCCAACCCGAGTCGTCGGCCACCCCACTGAGGTGGCTCCAGAGCCCCCAGCAGCTCTTCTGCCCTCCTCCCCCAACCCCAGGCTGCAGGACCTGGAGAATCAGTACCGGAAGGAGAAGGAGGAGGCTGATCTTCTGCTTGAGCAGCAGCGACTGGTGAGGGCTGGGCAGGGGGGTGAGGGTGGGGGGCGCACGCGCAGAGGGACTGGAGGGGGGCGTGGGAGGGGCATAGGGCTCAGGCACAGAGGGACTGGACTGGGGGGCAGCCGGTGGGGCAGGGGGCACATGCTCAGAAGGACCAGAGGGGGCACAGGAGGGGCAGGGGCGCTCGTGCAGATGCAGAGGGACTGGATTGGGGGGCAGGCAGGGCATAGGGGGACACACAGAGGGACGGGACGGGCGGTGGGGGGGCATGCATAGGGCATGCAGAGTGGCGTGATGAGGGCGCGGGGGGCGCACAGAGAGGCGCAGGGCCTGTAGAGGCAGGAGATAGGCTGGTGGTGCTTCAGCTTGACTGTGCTTTTGGTTCATGCCATCTGAGCCAGAGTGGGGAGTGGGCGTGGGGTCGAGGGGTGGCCGTGGCGTTTAGGAGGAGACAGGACGGTGACTCGGGGCAGACTGGGTGCAGGGAGTACCCCCCCCCCCCCCCCCGAGTAGGGCTTCCTGGATTCGATCTGTCTGATTTTTACCTTATCCGAGTACTGCCTGTGCCGTCACTGACTTAAGGTTGTTGTGGGAGCGGATTAGTCTTCAGTGTAGTCTGGTCCTGAGCCCTGATCTCTGTGCGGGCCACGCAGACTCGATGTAGCCCCCGCTCCTGCTTGCGGGTCGCGTCTGCCAGCCGCCGTCCACGCACCTGGCGTCCTTAAATCCTCCGCGAGTGTCTGCGAGGGAGGCCTGTTCCTTCCCTCGTGCCGCCGGGCGGGGGTCGGGCGCGCGGTGCCGCCGGCGCGTCTCCGGCGCTCCGTCTCCGGCGCTCCGTCTCCGGCGCCCCGGGCGGCCCTGACCCCCCGCCCCGTTCTCTCTGTGGCCCCAGGACGCGGACTCGGACAGCGGGGATGACTCCGACAAGCGCTCCTGTGAGGAGAGCTGGCGGCTCATCTCCTCGTTGCGAGAGCAGCTGCCCCCGACCACCGTGCAGACCATCGTCAAGCGCTGTGGCCTGCCCAGCAGCGGCAAGCGCAGGGCCCCTCGGAGGGTCTATCAGATCCCCCAGCGGCGGCGGCTGCAGGGCAAGGACCCCCGCTGGGCCACCATGGCCGACCTGAAGATGCAGGCGGTGAAGGAGATCTGCTACGAGGTGGCCCTGGCCGACTTCCGCCACGGGCGGGCAGAGATCGAGGCCCTGGCCGCGCTCAAGATGCGGGAGCTGTGTCGCACCTACGGCAAGCCCGAGGGCCCCGGGGACGCCTGGAGGGCCGTGGCCCGGGATGTCTGGGACACGGTGGGCGAGGAGGAAGGCGGCGGAAGTGGAGGTGGCGGCGGCGAGGAGGGGGCCCGCGGGGCGGAGGTGGAGGACCTGCGGGCGCACATCGACAAGCTGACGGGGATCCTGCAGGAGGTGAAGCTTCAGAACAGCTGCAAGGACCGCGAGCTGCAGGCCCTGAGGGACCGCATGCTGCGTATGGAGAGGGTCATCCCGCTGACCCAGGTGGGGAGGGCCCCAGGCTGCGCGCATGCTCCTCCACTCCCTCCTTCCGCTCCTTCCCTGGGCTAGCGGGGCTCCCCCCCCCCCCAGCAGGGCCTCTCCCGCTCCCTGTAAACACGTTGCTTTGCTCAGTGTAGGTTGGGAATCCCGGCCTCGCCATCCGCAGGGTGCGGACCTCACATGCACATCTCTGAGCTGCACCCCAAGCCTGCTCGGTCCGAGTCTGGGGAGGAATCTGCATTTGTAACGGGTTCCCAGGGGTCTCAGAAGTACAGCAGAGCTTGAGAAGCCCCGTAGGAAGCGCACAGCTCTTAACTTGCCGCTGGACGCAGGTTCACGTGCACGTGCGCCCCGGGGGACCGTCCCCCCCCACCCCCACGGGAACTGCCGTGCTGGGCGCTCCTCCCGCATCCCTCGTGTAACTCCTCACAACAGCCCTTCAGGGGCGTGTGATCGCCCAACCCTGGCGTGCACGGACTCGCTGAACAAGCAGACATCTGAGCGCCTGCTGTGCGCCAGGCGGGGCGCTAGCCGCTGGGGTTACTTACAGCAGACACTTGGTGCAGTGTTCCCGCTTGCCTTCCCTGACGCATGGCCGTGCCGGCTCGGGGTCATTGACGGCTTACCTTCTCCTGCCCGGCTTCCTTGCTGGTCCGGGATCTCGCTGGGCACCTGCCGCCTCCAGCCTTTGCGCCTAGAGTGCCTTCCCCCCACTTCCTCCAGGTGTTTACTGTGGTGACAGCCTCCCAGTGGACCCTGGTGGCAGCCACCTTCACCCTGGCCCCCCTCCCCTTCCCTGCTCTGCTCTTCACCTGAATATATACTTTTTTTCTTTAAGATTATTTGTTTATTTGAGAGAGAGGGCATGAGTGGGGGGAGGAGCAGAGGGAGAAGCAGACCCCCCCCCCAGCAGGGAGCCCCATGCAGGACCCGATCCCAGGACCCTGAGATCATGAGCTGAATCAAAGGCAGCCGGTTAACTGACTGAGCCACCCAGGGGACCCCAAATGTGCACATTTCTATAAAGCACATCATATCCTATGTTACAGATGCTTCTGTTAACATAAATAATATACGTTAAATGATAGAAGTATGCATTTGTACTTAACTTTTTGCGGAAGGATAGGCTATGTACCCTACTGTGTACTTTTGTCATTCACTTAGCAGCTGTGTCTCGCCCCTTAAATGATGGCAGGTGTTTCCCTTACCTTCTGACTGCTCCATCCCCCGGGCACGTTATTTATTCAGCAGGATTACGGGTCTCTGCTCCCGACCGCACCCTGAGCTACAGCTTTCCGGGGTTAGCAGTTAATTCTCCCCCCAGCCCTGTGCACTAGGTACTGCGGCCATGCACACGAGGGTCTGGGCACCGGCGGGTTACTGGCCAGGGCGCAGACCACAGGCCAGGATCAGCTCAGACAACTGCCCCAGGCCCCTGTCTCCAAGCCCCCCTGCGACCCCCTGCCCTCGGCCGCTCAGCGCTCGGCTCTCTCTCAGCCCTTCTCTGTCGCCCTCTTCCCCACCCCCCCAGGATCACCAGGATGAGAACGGAGAGGCCGGGGAGGCCGCCTGGGCCGCGCCGCCGGGGTCGGAGGCCACGGAGGAGGAAGCCCCCGGCGAGCGCGCGCCCCCGGCCCCAGCGCGGCCCCCGTCGCCGCCCCTGTCCAGCTGGGAGCGGGTGTCCCGGCTCATGGAGGAGGACCCCGCCTTCCGCCGGGGTCGCCTGCGCTGGCTCAAGCAGGAGCAGTTGCGGCTGCAGGGACTGCAGGGCGCGGGGGGCCGGGGCGGGGGGCTGCGCCGGCCCCCAGCCCGCTTCGTGCCCCCTCACGACTGCAAGCTGCGCTTCCCCTTCAAGAGCAACCCCCAGCACCGGGAGTCGTGGCCGGGGGCGGCGGCCGGGGAGGCCCCCGCGGCGCCCCAACCCCCCGAGGAGGTCGCGCCCCCTCCGGCCGCCCCCGCGCGCCGGCCCCCGAGTCCCCGGAGGTCCCACCGGCCCCGCAGGAACTCCCTGGACGGAGGCGGCCGGTCCCGGGGAGGCGGGTCCGCACAGCCCGAGCCCCAGCACTTCCAGCCCAAAAAGCACAACTATTACCCCCAGCAGCCCCAACCGTACCCCGTGCAGCGGCCCCCGGGGCCCCGCTACCCGCCCTACACCACTCCCCCGCGCATGAGGCGCCAGCGCTCGGCCCCCGACCTCAAGGAGAGCGGGGCGGCCGTGTGAGCCCGGCCCTGGGGGCGGGCAGCGGGGAGCCGAGCCGGGAGCGGAGCAGTACCTGGAGCCGCTGCTGCCCCAGGAGCCCGGGGCAGGGAGGCGACAGGTGGGCGAGAAGGTCCGAGTAGGTGCTGGACGGCGTGGAAGAGGCTGGGCCGGAGGCTGGAGGAAGGAAGCGCGCACGGAGCTGCCCGGAGCGAACCAAAGTGAAGGAAGAGAATGGGAGCTGCCTCGGGGCGCCCCTCGCGAGGGGGGGTCCCCACAAATGCTGCTAGGGGTGGGGTGGGGGGCTGGGGTGCTGCGTAGCCAGTGTGTGACTTTCTTTTCAAGTGGGGCAAATGGGAGAGGACCTACTAGGGTGAGGCGAGTTCTCTCCCGGGCCCCCGTCTGTCTGTCCGTCTGTCCGTATGTGGTGGGCTTCTGTTTCCAGGGAGGTGAGGCGTGGCGGGGTCGCAAGTCATTCCTCTCCCCTTCCAGGCCTCCTGCTATATTTGGGGGGCCTGTCTGGATTCTGGTTTTGCTGGGGTCCCATGAGGATGTGGGGCCCTTCAATAAAGGATAGCAAACACAGGGAGCTCGTCGCTGCTGGTGGTGGTTTGGTTTGGGTTTTAACTGAGGTGTAGATTATCAAAGTAAAATGCACAGATCCTATGTGTGCGGCTCAGTGAATTTTTATACAGGTGTGCACCCTTGCAATCACCAGATCAAGACGTGAGACCGCTCTCGTCCTGGTTTCTTGAGCTTTCCACATGGTGACTCCCACTTCAGAGTGCCTGAGTCCTTTATTTCTCTTTGTTTTAGCTTACCCAGCGCTCCACCCCTGCCCCCAGCTCCGCCCTTGGGCAGTGACCCAAGCTCTCCTGCACAAAGGAGAGAGGGAGGGATGGGGGGGGGCGTGGGACAGCAGGAGACCCACCTGTCCGTGGCCAACCTGTTGTTCCTAACGGCACATGGAGGATTTGGGGGGCAAGGTGGGGTTCGGCTCCACCCAGTCACCTCACTGTCAGGAAGGTCCCCCAAGTAGCCGGAATTCTGTTGGATACTGAACAGTGAACACGTTGGTCAAGCTTCCTGCACCTGATTATTTTTGTCCTGTTCGTGTCCCCTGCTTTTCGGCAGGGTGTGTTCATCATTCCAAGTAGTCTTTTGTTTTAAGACTGTCCAGGAAGGATGCTGCCGGCTTGCTTTAATGTTCTGACTTGGAGGGACGAGCCCACAGCAATGCCCTATGGGAAAGGTTTTGGAGGTGACATTGCATCCCCGCCCTGCCCGCACCTTGCTGCACTCCGGAATCCCCATGTGTTCATCCTGTTCTCAGGAAAACAGTTCCACCCATTTGAAAAAGTGAGCTGCTTGCCCACAGCTTCCTGATGTCAGTCTTGAGGCATGAGCAGCCCAAAACCATGGACGTTATCCCAACTGCAGCCAAACCACCGCTCCGGGCGAGGGTATGATATGTTTACTCTTGGTTTCCACATCCTGATGTTGGTTACCTTTCTTTTGGCAGCTGCGACTGCCAGGTCTTCGGGGACCCGTTGGCAGTGACCCAAGCTCTGGAGTGTAATGGATAGTTTGGCGACAGTGTTTACTTGAGCGGTTTGTAATCTGGTCGAGGAGACTAAATGTGAGCAAAAAAAATGATAGAATGCAGCATTCCCCGCAGGTCAGAGCAAGCCGAGTGGTACGCACGAATACTGTGATGCTTGAGATGCGAAAGCTCACTTTTTTTTTTTTTTTTAGATTTTTTTGGTTAATTTTGGGGGCGAGTGGACCGGGGGGGGGGGGGGGCAGAGGGAGAGAGAGAGAATCTCAAGCCGACTCTCCGCTGAGCGCTGAGATCATGCCCTGAGCCGAAATCAAGAGTCGGACACAAAACCCACTGAACCACCCAGGCGCCGTGACAGCTCGTTATTTTATTTTATTTATAATTTTAAAAAATATTTATTAGAGAGAGAGAGAGAGAGAGCATGAGCTGGGGGAGGGGCAGAGGGACAAGCAGGCTCCCTACTGAGCAGAGAGCCTGAGGACTGGGGTCTCGATCCCAGGACCTGAGCCCGGAACCTGAGCCGAAAGCAGATGCTTAACCTACTGAGACACTGAGGCGCCCCGAGCTCACTATTTTAAAATACAGTTGGGTTATTTTCCCCTGAAGACTGCCCTATATAAATGTGTAGTATCTACCAATTTTGTCCACTTTGTCTTTCCAAGTCAATCTTTTAAAATGTGTTGAATTTTAGATTTTATTTAGAGAAGTGCCCACTGATCCTACCGGCTGCACATGCCCACGTTCCACATGCATGCCGTCCTTAAGACGACCCTGTAAAGTCGGTCTGTTTCGTGTCCATTTTTCGGATGGGAAGACTGAGGTCTGAATAGATTAATGGATTGCCCGGGGTCATACAGTTCTTAAGGGACAAAGTTAGGGCTCCAACCCTGGTGACGTGACTCACACCAGGATGTCACATGTCACTTTTCCTTCCAGAAGCCACCATGTCCTCCCACCTTAGGTGTGCTCACGTATTTCCTGAGTCTGCCTCCCACTTCTGGCCTCCACCAAAGCTGCCCCCTGAAGACACGGGAGCCGCTATCTGTGGGCCTCCCCCTGGAATCACAGGCCGAAGCCGCCCAGACTGCTGGCCAGCTTTCTCGCCTGCTCAGTTTGGACATTTCTTCAGTTTCATCCTCGGTTTCCTTGGAAATTTCGTTTGCTTGTCTTCATGTCTCTCCTTGGAGGGGCTTCCTTCCTTTTGTTAGTTATTCATTGGGATTTTCTGTTTTTTTCGCCTGGAGTTTGGGGATCTTGAATGCATTTGGGGATCCCAAAACTTTCTTTAAAAAAACCTTTTTCAAAGCTTTCTACACTTCCTAGATTCTACTTTGGTTTCCTTTGAAATCGTTCTTTTCCCTTGTAAAGATTTAACATCAGAAGCTCCGTGATGACGTTTTGGTTAGGGGTGGACGTTGGGCGGCTTCTAATTCGCCATTCCCTGGAGACCCCCCCACTCCTGTCGAATCACCATCCCGGCTTGCACCATTGTGCCCCTTCATGTGGAGTCTGAGACCCTGGGGGGCACCGGGGTCCTGCTTCCCATACTGGTAGAGTTTTAGGGGATGCTACCCAAGGCAGGCTGGCTTTGAGCATCCCCCCTAACCCAACTTGGCTCGCAGGCTCTCCCTTATGGCCCCCATACTCTGTGCCGCTTCGTTAACATATCTGGCCACCCCTTAAGGGTGGCTCAGTGTTTGCCTCCCTCTGGGCCCAAGGCCAGCAGCTTCTGCCTCATTGTGCACGTTCTTGGAAGGCAGGAGGACACTGGCATCTGGATAGGACGTCTCCTCTAAAGGTCTGGTCACCAGACGGGTGTTGTAGCAACGGCTTCTCTCATCCTGACCCAAGCCCACAGTTTAGGAGCTGCCATTAACCTGCAGTGTCCCTGCCTCATTAGCGAGCATGTGCCCCTCGGCTCCCCGCACCACCCCCCGAATCCCTGGAGGAGGAACATGTTTCTAGAGACCTGGGACGGTCATGCCCTGAGCTCCTGTGGCTGCAAGCTCGTGCCCCAGGCACATGAACTGGCCTGAAAAGTTCTCTTTTTTAAAGATTTTATTTATTCATTTGTCAGAGAGAGAGAGCGAGAGAGAGCACACAAACGGGGGGGGGGCATCAGGGATCCCGATGCGGGGCTCGATCCTGGGACCCTGAGATCATGACCTGAGCCGAAGGCAGACGCTTCACCGACTGAGCCACCCAGGCGCCCCAAGCCTGGAAAGTTCTCAGGCTTAACCAGCAAAGCTTCCTTAGAAATGACCACGAAAAGTGGTCTTGTTCTTGCAGCGTGTTGTCAGCTCCAGAGGAGAAGCAGCTCCCCTTTCTCCAAGGTCAGGGCCGGGTCCCCACCAGGGAGGGCACACACGCGTCACGCATTAGCTGTGTCGAGCCTCCGTTTCTTCTCTATACACGGGACTAACAGCCCAGTGACACCCTTGGCAGGATTTAATGAGATAATACGCGTAAAGGGCCTGGCACCTACGGGGAGCCCACGGTCGGTGCCTTCCCTTTTCCCTTGTTCTGACCTGGAAATGAAGCCTTGGGAGAGAAGGGGGTGCGCCGCACAACGAGGTCAGCTCCGGGTGACTGATGGGCAAAGCTCTTCTCCAGCTCAGCCCTCCGCAGAGCCTGGCACCTGCGCCCACCAAAAGGGCTCCCTCTAGCCCTGCGGTTGTTCCGCTGCTGTCCGCCAGGGGGAGACAAGGCGCAGGCTCCCCCGCGGGCTGCCGTCGCTTGCGCGTTCACAGAGCCTCGAGAGCGCGCGGCGGGGGGGCGGGACCCCGCGGCCATGCGCGCCCGCGAGACTCCCAGGGGCGGGGCAGGGCGGGGCAGGGCGGGGTGCGCACGCGCAGAAGGCTGCGCTTCCCGCGTGGCGGGAGCCGGTAGGGTTGAGGCTTGGGGCCCCGCGGGTTAGAGGCGCGGGACTTGCGGGGATCTCCTCTTCTTCCGGGACCAGTTTTCCGCTTGGATTTGCGGAAGGGACGACCTGACCCCCTTCAGAGTTAGCTGCTCGGCCCACCCTAACCCTACAGCAGCATTCCCCACCCCCCACCCCCGGAACAGGTCCTATCTTCCAGCCCTTGTCTTCTGCGCACCTGGGTGGCTCCGTCCGTTGAGCGTCCGACTCTTGGGTTCAGCTCAGGTCGTGCTCTTGGGGTGGTGGGATCAAGCCCTGAGTGGGGCTCCCTGCTCAGGGCGGAGTCCGCTTGTCCCTCTCCCTCTGCCCCTCCCCCTGCTCGCGCGCGCGCGCGCGCGCTCTCTCTAAAACAAAATAACAATAATACAAAAAAGAAACTCACAATGTTTAGAACTCAGACATAGAAGCCTTGCGAGCAGCTCTAATTTGCAAGGACAGAAGGAACTTGAGAGCTTTTAACCCATCACCTTACTGTATTTCTTTTAAAATATATTTAAGGAGGGCCTACTGCGGAGGATGCCTTTTGCTGTGCACTTTGGACGACACCGAGACGTTAAGTATCTACATAAAATCCTCCAGGGCCCGGCCCTGTCTTTGGTCTCTCCAGTCTTCCTTCCGGCCCTCGGTGCCTCCCACCAAATTGCTTGTGGTTGTTTGCAGACACCACAGTTTCCCGCCTCTGTGTCTTCTCTCCTCCGGCCTTGCTGCCCCTTTGACTGGCTGCGTCCTGCTTACCTCCTGCGAGTCTCAGCCCAGCTGCCGTGTGTCGGGGAACCTTGGCTCCCTCAGTCTGGGTCAGGGACCCTCTTCTTTCCGAGCTTCCCCAGGATACACCTCTGTGATGACACTTACCACGTGATAATGCAGTTGTGAATTTCGGGGCTTGTCCTCCCCACCCCCACCCCCACGCCCACCGACTCTGGGCTCTTTGGGATTCCGGGCCGAGCTTCCTTCACCCTTTGAATCAGACCCAGATTCTCCTCTGGGTGACAGGAGAGAGAAGCCACTCTAAGGCCGCTATCAGGGTGGGTGTGATAAATACGGGAAGAGTAGTACAGGTGGGAAACTGAGGCTGTTACTCGCGAAAATCACTCTTCCTGGCAGCAGGCCAGAGCTAGAGGCATCCCCAGCTGATGGAAGTAACTTGGGGAGGAGCCTGAGACCCAGCCAGCCTTTGGGTG